TCCTGGGCCATAACCTAAAACTGCACCCTGCTGGGGAAGGGTGGCCTGGTGGGGCTCCTGGTGGTATGGGAGCCCCCAGGAAATGCCAGGCCAGTTACTTCCCCGGTGAAAGGCAAGGAGGGGCACCTTGAACCGAGCCCCCATCTTTGGGTGGGCTTTGGAGGCAGTAGTGGGACCAGGCATGGTTGTGGACACCTGAGCCTGTGAGGGGATGCAAGACCCTGGATAGTGAGTGTGGTGGGCCAGGCATGGCAAGTGGAGAGCCACCTAAGCCTACAGGGGTGGTTGACCCCAAGGCCCTGAGAGAAGGCAGTATAGTGAGGCCCTAGGGAAGAGGGCCATTGTGAACGCCCTGAGAGGGAAGGGATGGAGGGGGCCCCACACACAGTAGGGTTGAAGGGGAGTAGGTCTGAAGGGCTGTGCATGAGGGGGGCTGAGTAGGGCTGAACAGGGACTAGGCCTAAAGGGCAGTCCCAGGGGTGTGTTGAGTAGGGCCAAACTGGGAGTAAGCCTGAAGGGCAGTGCAAGGGCCAGCCCTGTGAGTAGCTGATTGTGAAGATGCTGAGAAGATCTCAGGGTGGGGCACGGTGTAGAGGCTGCAGAGTGAGCATAGTAGGAACCCCAGGGGTGGGGAATAGGCCAAGGCATGTTCATGGATGCCTGAGGCTATAGTTGGGCCAGAGGCCAAGTGCGGGGCCTCAGCCAGAGAGTTAGGGGTGAGTCCTGACCCTGGTAAGTCCTCCATCGCAAGGAGGCTGAGTGGGTCAAAAGAAAGACCTAAATGTTAAGCACAATGACCTGCTGCTCCAGGGAGAGAGGGAGAGTCCCTGTGAGGCCCTGGAGCACCAGTCGTGAGGTAGATTATGATTACATCATGTGGATGCCATCTGCGAGGCATGGGCTGTGGTGCAGAGGAGGTTTTCAGAGCCACAGATAGTGCCCCCTGTCATCGGGGCAAGGAATGGGCAGCCTCCCGCCTAATTAAGACACCAATTATTAAGCACTGCAGCATTTCATAGGCACTCAGATACTTGCACTTATATATTCTGAGCTGGTGAAAGGCTAGATGTACCATATTTACTCAATTAGAAGATGATGTTTACCCCCTATTTAATCTGGGGGGAAAAAGCCCCTTGCCTTACAATTGAGCACAAGGCAGCAAGGGGTAGGGGTTAGAGCTGGAGCCAGAACCACAGCTGCTACCTACCCCGCACTGCCTTTGCACTCCCAGCCACTCCTCCCCCGTGGTCTCCAGTCCTCCCCTGTGCCAGTTCTGCCCCATCTCTCCTCCTCTTCCATATTCCTCCTTACCTTTGCTCCACTGCAGCAGACTCTGTCCTCGCTGAAACCTGGAGCACGGAGCAAGTGCTCCTGCCCAGCCCTGTAGTTGCAGTGCCAGCTCTGTGCCACTGCTGTGGGGCTGGGCTGGAGCCATGCTCTGTGTCCCAGGCTACAGCAGGGACAGCCTGCTGGCATGGAGCAAAGGTAAGTGGGGTGGGGATGGAGGGACAGGCAGGAGGGAGAGACTCTGGAGGTGGGGGAGGCAGGAGGAAGGGTGGGATGGGGACCTGAGTCTGCAGGGGGCAGAAGCAGTGTGAAGTGGGGAAGGGGAAGGGGGGAAGGGGAATTGGGGCAGCCTGAGGCTTCAGGAGGGGACCCTACCAACTACCTTACCACTTTCCCCGCTACTGCCTGCTCCCCCCCCCCCCCCCCCCCCCCCCCCCCACTACCACTTTCCCCGCTACTGCCTGTTCCCCACCACCCCCACTGCCTGCCCCAGTACTGCCCCCACCATCTGCCCTACCATGTGCCCCTTACTGATTTCCCCAAATCAGACTGATGTCTGTCTACCTGCCATCTCCTATCTCATTGCTGCCCCCCATTACCTCTCCCCCCCTGCCCCGCCTGCAAATTTAAGATGATCCTCCAATGATTAGATCTCATACATGGAAAATTGTAAGAAATTTATAAATTTTCCATGTATAGAATCTAATTATTGGGAGATTGTCTTAAATTCAGGGTAATTTTATATTTGGGTAAACATGGTAGTAAATCAGTGCCCCGGCAGCCTCTTCACTCCCTGAATCCAATGACCAGCCCTGAATTTAGTCAAAAACTAGTAAATAATAATCCTGAACTATGAAAAGCATTTGGTCGTGTTTATCTTTATGAGAGGCTTTCCTGTTTATTGGGTTCACCCAATAGTGATCGACACAAAGCAGGGTCTCATTTGGCACCTGCTGATACAGTGAATTTTGTGAACTGAGAAAATGTGGCAATGGTACAACAGTGATACCTGCATGCCTCAGGTCCCAACAGATGCCTGGTGTCCTACTACCACCTTTCTCTCACAGGGCTGTATCAGTTCAAACCAGAAAGCTTTTCCTCTGGCAGCAGTGGATGTCAAGTACTTAATCAGGAATTTGGTCCAAGAAGCAATATTAACTTATATTTTATTAAGGTGTGGTGGTCCTAGCCATCCTCATGTTAGCAGTGGGAAAAAAGTATGATCATGTTGTTAAAGTACTGGACTTAATTGGACTATGGTGTTTGTTTTTCCAGGAGAAGATGATGATGAAGATGAATGTGGGGAAGAGAAGCTGCCCTCCTGTTTTGATTATGTGATGCACTTTTTGACCGTCTTCTGGAAGGTCCTTTTTGCCTTTGTGCCCCCCACAGACTACTGGAATGGTTGGGCCTGCTTTGTTGTCTCCATCTTGATGATTGGCCTCCTGACAGCTTTCATTGGGGACTTGGCATCCCATTTTGGCTGCACCATCGGCTTGAAGGATTCTGTGACTGCAGTCGTGTTTGTTGCACTTGGAACTTCGGTACCAGGTAAAAAAAAAATTCCCTGCCAGGACCTTTCCTGTCCTTCCCCTGTGCTGCGTCTTGGGGGGGGAGGGGGGGCACTAGCAGGGAGTGGGTAACTGCCCTGGTCTCCATGAAGAGCAATTAAGCTTGTAACATGACCACCATATGGGAAATCATAGCAGTGTGCTTCTGTCCTTTACACTATTTGTTGGCAGTGGGTTATCTAAAATATAGCTTCACCTTGGGATTCCCAGGCCTTCCATGCTTGACATATTTTGAAAACAATATTTTCCTAAAGGGTTTTTTACCATGAGTAACTGATAGTAGTGGTGGAAACAGCAGCCAATCCACATTTTCTTCCTGAGAGAGGAAAGTTCAGGTGCTGCATACAGTGCTAAAGGAGGATGGATCCCTACTTTTCCTTTCGCCACTGTCTATGTATACCAGTATATATTTTCCAGACCTAAAATGGGTATGAAATTAACTGCACTTAGAGTGTTTTAGGAGGGGTTTTTTAAGTCCCCTTAAAACAGAGGTGGTCCTTAATTCATTCCAGGTGTATTCCTTTTGCTTGGCAAGACTTTCACATTTTTATCCCATTTTTCCTTTTCCCAGAAGATTCTCTTTGTCCAGTTAATACTGATATATGAATAAATAGAAAATCAGTGGAATTGGAAGAAGGGACTTTTGGGTCTTGTTATTCTTAGTATCATTTTCACTTCTTGCTGATACTGATGATAGATCCAAGCCATGTTCTCCACTCTCTTACTATACATTAAGAATGGATAGATCTGGATTTGCATTGGACAACAATTTCTATTCTTCTGCCACACTTCTGCTACTTAGCTGGCAGCCAGATGTCCATCAACAACATGCAGTGTGTCACCAGGTACTTCACCCCTGTCTCTTCTACAGCAGCTAGAATCCAGGGATAGAAAGCTTGCAGTATCAGGTTCTTTTTGCAGGTCCTTTTTCATGGTCTGTAGCCATCGCTAAACATCTGTTGCAGTTAAAAAAAAGAAAGCTGAAAGGTATAAAGGATGGGCTAGAAAGTAAAACCCAACATCCATGTCACAATATTGTGCAAATCAGCAGTGTGCCTTCATCTGTGTCTTAGAATGAACTACTGGGTTCAGAAGATTCCCCACGCTTGAACAAAGGACATGCTCACAGTTGTTTTTACTCTTGCAAAGCTTTATTTAAGGATACTCACAGAGGCAGGTGATAGAACAGAGCAGAGAAGACGGTCACTTCACATCGGCCTTAGGCAGCAGCCGCTACTTCGCATGGTTCCTCTGGCCCTGGAGTGTCCCGATTCCGGGGATGTGATAGCCTGCCAGAGCTGAGGAACCCATCGTAACTTAAAAATGTACAGCTTATATAGTCTGGAGTAAATAATGTTATCTCAAGCTAGGGATTTGGTTATTTCAAGCTAGGAATTTGGGGATGAGTCGTTATCTAACAGACTTGGTGTATTACAACATTCTGCTATCTAGGTTCATGGTTTGGTCACGCTCACAGAGCAGGAGGCTATGTGCTGCTTCACCGGCCTACTATGGAATCAGCGTGCAGAACTCTTGCTATTAGCAAAGCTCTTGCTATTACAATCTGTCTCGCTGCTCACCTTCCCGCTGAGCAGGGTAAAGGGGGTTTGGAGACAAGACAGATGAGGGGGTACAGGACAGAGGGAAGCAGAACCATTAATACTGCAGAAAAAGATAGCAGGAGGCCCTGTGCTCTCAGCTCCTGCAGACCAGGCATGTCTCTCTGTCACAACTGCCTTGGACTCCCTGCCCTGCTGCTCCCATTCTCAGGTTGTATCCTGAAGGAGAGTGGCTGCTGTTGGTTTGCTGAGGAGAAGAGTTGAGATGCCTCCCACTCCAGCAATGGGCCGCCTGCTGCCTTGTCATCTTGATATGTCCTCCAGGGAGCAGAGAGAAGGAGGGGAGTGCCTGGCACCAGCCATTGTTTAAGATTTGGGGGAAGGCAGTTCCATTGTCACAGTAGGTTATCAGGGAAAAGCCAGCCCTGAGCTCATGGGTTCCCCTCAAAACTCCAGGTCACACTCAGTGAAGTTAAGAGGTGTGCAGGCTTGCTACAGGTCAGATCATGGTATCATCCAGTCCCAGGGCTCAGTGAGCCAGCAGTCTCCTCAAGGAACACATCCTAGTCCCAATCCTAGGATGCCTGAGAATTATACACCATGTTCCCTGCCTCCTGATAGCTGAAAATGGGCAGTGCTGGCATTCTTTGTCAAAGGGAGTAAATAGCAGGCATTGGCAGGTCTGTGTTTCTGCAAATTATGCTTTGTGCTAATTAGAAATGGACCAAGGACCCTGTGTTTCACTTTTGCCAAACCTCCCTATTCAGATTTTGTGTTTCCCATACTGGAAGCAGGCCTGGATCAGAGCTGAACTCCATATTTTTCAAAATCCTCAAGTGGAGGAACATGTGGGTTGGATAAAGTTTTTCTTTCAGCACCAAAAGAGTTTGGGGTAAGGGATGATTTTGCAAAAACATAGCTGGGTTTAAATTTTTCTAAATCAAGAGTATCGAGAGTCTCATCTCTAAGGTTGAGGTCAGGCCCTGTCTCTGGTAAAGTGCTCCATACAGGATTTTAGTTTTGCTCCATAGCAATCAGGACATGATGGGTGCTTGTACACATGACAGGGGTTTAGTCCCCTAAATTGAAACGGTAGGTTTTTAATTGTGATGATTAAAAACCTACCATTTCAATTTAAGGGCTTCCCATCACTGTTATGGCGAGGGGCCTGATCCTTTTTCCACACAGACTGCTTGCAGCTGGGGGCCAAGATGCCAGTGGGTCAGCCCCATCCAACTGCTCCCCAAGCCTGAGCAGGGGCAGCCCCCAGCCTGCCAGCAGCCCACACAGATGGCCCCAGGGGGTGCCACCACTGTGGAGGGAAGGACTGGGGCCCTTGGCAGCTCACCCCATGGCCACAAGCAGGCTCCCGGGGGGTGGGGGAATCAGGCCTCTCGCCACTTTTTTTTTTTTTTTTTCCAATGGAGCCTACCCCTAAGGCAGCGCGGGGAAGCAGCAGGAGGGTGGCCGAGTGTGCAGTGGGGACGGTGCACAGTGTGCTGAAAGCCCAACAAACCCGAGCCTCCCTGAGCCTGCTCGGGCTTTCAGTACCCTTTTCAGCATCATCCCCACCACCTTCAGCCGCCAGTACACCTAGCCACCCTTCTGCCACTTCCTTGTGCTGCCCCAGGGGCAAGTCAGCCCATTCCCAGGTGGTCCCAGGCAGTGGGAAGACGGTGAGGACAGTGCTCTGGGCCAGCAGCCCACCCAGGCAGCCCCAGGGGGTGCTGCCACCACGGAGGGAAGGACCAGGGGCCACTCAGCCCACTGGCAGCTCGCCCCCAGCTGCAGAAGAGGTGGGCAGGCTTTGTGCGGCAGGAGGGGAAATAAAAAAGGAACAGGCCCCTTGCTGCTTCTGCCTTCAGCCTGGCTGTCCTGTGGCCAGTAAGTGACCTGTCAGATTAAAGGCTGCAACATTACAAGTAGCTACATTGCAAACTAAACTACATGGAGATGTGGTTTAGTTTGGAATGTAACAAACTCATTTAATTCGCAAAAAAAAACACCCATATGTATAAAGCGTGAAGCAATTAAACTACAAAAATGGGCAATGTTTGTCATGTGTACTAGTGTCCAATAACAGTCCATATGCCTGCTCTGGCCCAGGGCAAGTGAATGCTGAATGAACTAAGGAAATTACCACTTCAGCAAAATATGGCTAAACCACCAGGGGGTAAAAGTAGGTACATTTTTAATTTGCTATAATTTGTTTATTTGTCCATTCCCCAAGGTGATCTGAACTGGGCCTGTTACAACGAGGCCTAGAAAGTAACAGCCAGATACATCACCAGTTTGATAGCCAACATGTAAATAAAAAT